TGCATGCGGCCGACCCGGATTCAATCCCCGGCATCCCATATGGTCCCCCGGGCACCGCCAGGAGTAATTCCTGAGTGCAAAGCCAGGAGAAGGCTGGCCTGAGCGTTGCTGGGTGTGACCCAAAAAGCAAAAAAAAAAAAAAAAATCACCAAACAGTCAAAAGCCCAATCAGTTGAAGTAGCTGCTAATTTATCTGCAGACAATCAATATTTGTGCTCTTCAGCTAACGTGTGTACACAGCATGCAGTCACCCCCCACCCCCCGCCCTCAGGAGGAAGGGAGGAAGTCGGGATTTCTTCCCCCAGAAACACGCGAAGACCCTTTGAAAAGGTCTGATGCCACCAACCCTGAGCCGGTGTATCCTGCGCTGCGGGGTCCCCCTCGTGAGCTCAGGAGGCCCGGACCCCGCCTCCGCCCTCACCCTGTGCTTCTCCTGGGAGGTGTTTGAGCTCCCGGTTTCCAGAAGTGGGGGCTCTCTTGCACGTTAGAAACGGACGCATTGCACGGGTGGGGACATCAGCCAGAACCAGTCGGTCAGGCCCGGGCCCTGCAGGCTCCTTCCCAGACTCGACAGAAGAGCCTGAACTGCAAGGTCAGTGTGGGGAAGAGGAACAGCAGGACTTGCTGCACCGCAGAGGCCAGGGCCCAGAGCGAGCTGACTGCACCCCCTGCCTTCCTCTCCCCTCCCTCCCTTCTCCCTTCCCTGGCCTCTCCTTCCCTTCCCTCCTCTCCTTTCCTCTCCCATCCTCCCCTCCCTTCTCCCCTCCACTTCCCCATGTAGTTGTGGGTGGACAAGAGCCCCGGGGACAGGCCTGCCAGAGGTATTTCCTATCTAGAAGATAAACCTCGTCTCAGGCGTATAGGGCACACACGCAGATGGTCCCTGCGTGTTCCTGGGTCCTGTTGGCTTTCCAGAGCGAGCGCTCCCTGCTGAATCATTCTCGGACCCACCGGCTCCGTGTGTCCGGGAGGAAACTGTGCCGTGGGGCTCCCACAGGGCCAGACGCAGAGTGTCACTGAATCCCGTGACTCTGCGTCCTTGGCGTGAGCCTTGGAGTTGGGCCTCTCAGCGTCACTGCCAGGGCTGAGCCCCGCACACAGCCCCCCACGGCCCCTCCTTCAAGTCCTTTATTCATAAAATCAGGCTGCTGTGGGTGTGGGCGTGATCCCACCTCCTCCCGTATTGGAGCACGGTGCTCAGGGCATGCACATCTCCTGGCAAGCAGCAGAGGTGCCACCTGGCTGTGAAGGGGGTGACGCCCCACAAAGCTCGGGCCTTTCCCCTCCTGGTCCTCACCGGGCCCTCGCTGTGGTCTCGCTGGGCCATGAGAAACTGAGGCTCAGCAGTCAAGTGTCTCAGCCCTAACTGGGCACTGACACCCAGTTGCTCTCAGGTCTCCTGCAAAGCCTGCGACCCCACCTTGGGCACACAGGAGCCGCTGGCCACCTGCGGGCATCCCCTCAGCCGCCTGCGCTGTGCCCATGCCAGGGCCGGCTGCGTGCCTGGCCGCGGCTTTGCGTGTGATCTGTTCAAGGTGCCCAGCATGGGCCCCAGAGGCCATTGCCGCAGCCCGCTGTTTATTTTCCCGTGAGTGGCATCCTTCAAAGGATTCTGACCCCAGGCCACCCATGCCCACAGTGCTCGGGAGTCAAGCCCCACGAGGTCTGGGTGTTCAGCTCAGGCCCGGTGGGGCTCAGGGGACAAGCCTTTCTGGAACCCAGACCTGGGGTTCCCACCTGCCGAGCCTGAGCCCAGCCCGCCCAGCCTTCTCCCGGGGGCTTCTTAGCTGAGCACAGGAAGAGGATCTTGGGGGGAGTCTGCCGCTCTTAGGAACCCGAGTGGGCAGCACACAGACCCAGGGTGACTGGCCCTGCCCGCGGGAGCACCGCCCACAGCGGGCACTGGAGCACAGTAGCCGTTGCGGTCGCTCCAGATGGAGATGAATGGACTTAATATTTCCTGTCCTGCTCCAGGGCCAGCAACTGTGCGCGGGCTCGGCCGTCCGTGGTCATTTTTAATATTTAAATGACATCTGAGTTGGAGATTAAAATTTATAAAGAGCAGAGAGAGCTCAGGGGAAAGGACTGGAAGCCACATCTATTTTCAAGTGCAATAAAACAGATGGGTTCCCATTCTAGACTTGGGCATTAAAATATTTAAGATTCCCTATAATGCAGAAAGCTCTCCATCTTCGTCTGCCGCCCCGTCCCCCCCCCCACCTCTGACACACACACACACATACACACACACACACACACACACACACACACACACACGCCCCTCCAGATCATCAAGTTCCTTGCAGAGGGCACGATTCAACTTTGCTTTGGAAAGCCCAGAATGTGACCTTAGGACCCAGCACGTGGATGAAGCAATTCGATACGGAAGGGGAGCACAGTGACCATTTCCAAGCGAGGAAAATAATTATGACAGCCGCGCTAATCACTGCCTCGAGACAGCCCCGCACACTGTGCAGACACCTCGTTACTCAGTGCCCCTCCCTGTGGGAAGGTGCCGCTGCCTCCGCCTTGCTCGGCTGACAAACGCCATCGCTTCCACGGAGCCTCCTTCCTTGTTTTCTTGTTTGTCTCCGCAATCTGGGAGGTGGCCACCCCAAACTAAGCGCTGCTGTGGCGTGAGCGGCGAGACGATTTGTGTTTCTATGCACGATTGATTAAAATTCACTGTTTTCCAAGCTGCTTAATTAGGTGCCGTGTGAGCTCATAAAAGCCCACAACAGCGGGAAGGATGGGGCAGCGACTGGAGCGGGAGGCCGTGCTTTCCCGAGTCCTCCTGGAGACAGGCGTCCTCCTCAGGAGGGGGAGCAGGGAGGAGGTGAGAGAGGGACTCGGCTTCTCGTCCCCCTCCCCGGACGCAGCCGGGCCCCTGAGTCCTGGCAGGGGGGTCTCGGGCGGCCTGCAGGGAAGCCCCCGGACGGAGGCGCTGGAGCCTGATGCAGGAGGACACCGGCTTGTCCGTGCCCAGGTCCCCAGGCCCTCTTGGGTTTGAGCCACCCCAACGTCGTTTTGATGCAGTCACTCTCATTTTTAAAAGAGGAGCCCCTTGGGCTGGAGAGAGAGCACAGCGGGGAGGGCGTTTGCCTTGCACGCGGCCGACCCGGGTTCGATTCCCAGCATCCCATATGGTCCCCTGAGCACCGTCAGGAGTAACTCCTGAGTGCAGAGCCAGGAGCAACCCCTGTGCATCGCCGGGTGTGATCCAAAAGAGCAAAAAATTAAAAAAAAAAATAAAAAGGAGCCCCTTGCCCCAGCCAAGCCCATGCCTGAAGGTCTGGGCTGCAGGTTCAGGCCTAAGTTTGGAGGGGACGCAGGCGGGCGAGCTGGGAGGAAGGCATGGGCCGGGCCGGGCAGCGCCTCGCAACGGGCACTCCAGGAGCCCACCGGCAGAGACAGGCAGAGGCACAGGAGACACTCGGGGCTGCACACGCACACGCAGAGGCCGGGCGAGGGCTCCTGCCTAGGAGCAGGTTGGCTTGGCCAGAGGGCAAAGGGAGCCCTCTGATTGGCCAGAGCTAGGAAAGGAAGCTGTTTGATTGGCTGCAGCTGCGGGCACAACAGGAGGCGAGGAATCTGATTGGCTGCAGCTGTGGGCACACCAGGGAGCTGATTGGCTGCAGCTGCGGGCACACCAGGGAGCTAGGGCAGGAAGCCGTTTGATTGGCTGAGATGAGGCCACGCCTTCTTTAGGACACAGTGACGCTGTGTGATTGGTTGTTCCTTTTATGAATTTCTCTCTGGCTAACGGGACCCTGGTCCGCAAGGGATGGAGCTGACCTCTCTCCTGGAGGACTCCTGGTACCCACCCCCGGAGTTTCCGCGCCCCGCCACCCCAAATGCCCCTGTGCCCAGTGCTGACAGCCACCTCCCTTTCCCAAGGAAGCCCCCGGCTCTTGCCCCAGATCCAGTGTGCTGGCTGGCGTTTGCCAGTCTGTGTCCACCTGCTGACCCCATCTGGATTTCCCCCCTCAGTTCTGTCTCCGAGGCATGCTGTGGCTCTTTCAGGTCCTTGGAGAGGACTTGCCCCCTCCCCCAGCCTTTCCACAGTGCTCCATCCGCTCGGGGCCACTTCCCAGGGGCACAGAATGTTGGGGTTTGGGGCGGGAGAGAGGTAGCACAGGTCGAGCGCTTGTCTTGCACGCGCCAACCCAGGTTTAATGCCCAGAGTCTCACCAGGTGCCCGCTGAGCACCGCCAGAAGTTATTCCAGAGTGCAGAGCTAGGAGCATCACCCAGTGTATCCCAAGAACAGAAAAAAATGAATTTTTAAAAAACAGATGTGCACCAGAATGTGCGTGCCCAGGTCCTTTCCTGCCCACAAGCACGTCCCCACATGCAGTCCTAGGTGGGTTCTCGACTTGCTGTGGGCGGAGCTGTGCCCGGCACTGTCGCCCGTGGCTAGCGGGGCCCTTCTGCTGGGCCTTGTGCTCCGGTGGTCTTCGTCGCTGCAGGTCTGATGGGTGGCAGCGGCTGTGGACTTTGTAGCTCTGGGACACCAGGGACAGGCGTCACTCCTTCCCTCATTCGACAGGAACTAAACGGGCTTCCTGCCTGCGCTGGGGGACAGGAGATGGCCCCGGGTGCGGGCCCTCTGCAGCTCTCAGTGAGTGGGGTCAGCGGTGCCTGTGGGCTGGCCCATACTGCCGCCCTGTGTGACTCAGTGCCCGGGGATTGGCTCTCCTACAGGTGCCCGAGTGGCTGTGCAGCTGTCCAGAGCCTCCCTGTGCAGCTCAGTAGGTCGTCGGTGTTGGGATGGGGAAGGGGGGGCGCCATGAGCAGGAATCCAGCACCGAGGGTCACCCAGAGGAAGCAGCGTCGTGGACCCCAGGGGTGTGTCAGGGCGCATCTCCGTCGGGCATGTGACTGAACAGACGGGATCCAGTCCAAGGGGAGGGAGGGGTGATTGGGTGCCATCTCGGGGGTCACCTGGCCGGGGTCCCCCGGTGCTGTGGAGGACACGCTGTGTGCCACCTTCCTCTGCAGGAGAGGATGATGACGAGGACGAGTGTGGGGAGGAAAAGCTGCCATCTTGCTTCGACTACGTGATGCACTTCCTGACCGTGTTCTGGAAAGTTCTCTTTGCCTTCGTGCCCCCAACTGAGTACTGGAACGGCTGGGCCTGCTTCATCGTCTCCATCCTCATGATCGGCCTGCTTACGGCCTTCATCGGGGACTTGGCCTCCCACTTCGGCTGCACCATTGGCCTCAAGGACTCCGTGACGGCCGTGGTGTTCGTGGCACTGGGGACCTCCGTGCCAGGTAGGCGCCCGGCCCCCCTTCTCGGCCTGCTGGCCTGCAGTGTCCGGAGAGGGGCGCCAGGGAGAGACTGTCCTTTCTCGGAGCACTGTCCATGCTCAGCGAGCCACGCTCTGTGGCCACGGTCTGTGCCAGGCCTTCCTGGGGAGAGTTGCTGGCTGGGGGCAGATGGGCGGCCCTGCACGGCCATATCAGCTTCCCGTCACAGTGGACACAGCACGGAGCCCCCTGGCCAGAGCTGACTCTTCTGACAGCGCTGATGGGGCTGGCAGGGCTCTCCACACACCCCGCCACCCCCCCAGCGTAGATGGAATCGCTCTCCGGAGCAGGACCTTGAGAATATGGGAAGCTGGAGGGAGGGCAGCATGAGCCCTGGGCAGCATCGGGCCCGCGGTGCCCTCACTGTGTGGTGCCAGCCAGGAGGCATCCCTTGCTAGGGCTGCGGTCACTGAAGGCAGGCCAAGGAGTGGCTGACCGGGGGGGCTCAGCACCTCGGCCCACCGCCTTGCTCCAGGAAGGGCTCAGTGTTCCCACCTTCGGTGGCCTGAAAGCTGGGGGTGGGGCTACTCCTGGGCTGACAGCAGGGGGTGGAGCCTGCCCATTCGCCCACTCCATGGGACTGCCCGCGCAGACAGAGTGACCACAGCCTGCCTGCCCGGGCCAGGGCCCTGCAGACCGAGCAGATAGAGAGCTCTGGGCTGAGGCTCGGGGGCGGCAGCACTGGGCCCCACACTGTGGAGAAGACCCCCTTCTTTCAGCTGCCCTGCCTAGGAGTCTAGGGGGAGGAGGGTGCCACCTCCCCACTCCCAGAGCTGGGACAGGGGTGACAGCGCTCGCCCTGCACGCAACAGCCCTGGGTTCAATCCCAGCTCCCCAGGGGATTCCCCGAGCACCACCAGGAATGATCCCTGAGCAAGAGTCAGCTCTAAGCACCACGGGGCGTGGCCCCCAAACAAAATGAACTTAAAAAAAAAAAGATTATAAGAAAACGAACAAATATCAGGAGGACAGCTCAGAGGGCTCCCAGCTGAGGAGCCCTGGGCTTGGGGGGTTCAGCACGGATGGCTCCAGGGCACTGCCAGGGGGTGGCCCCCAGTGCTGGGAGCAATGGGACAGCACGGTGGACCCGGCTTCAGCCCCCGGCACCCCACGCGGTCCCTCGAGCCCGCCAGGAGCAATTCCTGAGTGAGAGCCAGGAGAAGGCCCCGGGCACAGCCAGCGGTGCCCCCTCCCAAAGAAAGCCAAAGGGAGAAAGCCCCTGCCAGCCTGTGATTCTCACCATTCCTCCCTCGCCCACCCGCCCCCTCCCCTGCAGACCCAGCTCTGCCGCCGGCTTCCTTCGTCCCCTGCCCGTGGACTGTGTGTCCTTGTAACCCGGCGGAGGCATGCAGCCCCTCCTTCCTCCCAGCCTAGGTCTTGTGCAGAAACCCGACCCAGGTCCCTTCCCGGCTGCTGGTCTCCCAGGGCAGCGCGGTGGACGGGCAGTGCGTCCCGCGCTGGCCTGGCTGGCCCCTCTGTGCTCACCCTCCCTCTTCCCGCAGACACGTTCGCCAGCAAAGTGGCGGCCACCCAGGACCAGTACGCCGACGCCTCCATCGGCAACGTCACGGGCAGCAACGCGGTCAACGTGTTCCTGGGCATCGGCGTGGCCTGGTCCATCGCCGCCATCTACCACGCGGCCAACGGGCAACAGTTCAGAGTGTCCCCCGGCACGCTGGCCTTCTCGGTCACGCTCTTCACCATCTTTGCGTTCATCAACGTGGGGGTGCTGCTGTACCGGCGGAGGCCCGAGATCGGAGGTGAGCTGGGGGGGCCCCGGACTGCCAAGCTGCTCACGTCCAGCCTCTTCGTGCTCCTGTGGCTCTTGTACATTTTCTTCTCCTCCCTGGAGGCTTACTGCCACATAAAAGGCTTCTAAGGAACAAGCAGATAGAGTAAATTTATATATAAATATATATATACGTACATATATACACGAACCAGGACTGTAGAGGGAGGACCGATGGCGGCCACGCCCCCGCCCTGCCGTCGAACCAGCTGCCGGAGCCCCGCACAGACCCAGGGGACGCGGGCACCAGCCGGGGCCTCCCGCGGCTCCTCCAGGGAGCCCGCCACCCCCAGGACCACCGGGCGCTCAGTCTGTTTCCTGCTCTGGCCGGGCTGGGGGCAGGGACGGGCTGGCTTTGTCGCTGTCTCATTTCCTTTCGTTCTCCTGGGGCGCCGGCTGCTCTGGTGGAGGGGCTGACCCACGGCCATGCACGAGGCTTGGGGTGACGACGGCGGCTCCTGCTCCCCCCACCCCCATTCTTCCCGGAGGAAGGCAGCCTGGGGCGGCAGGAGTGGGTCTGCACCGTCCGCAGGGTGGGCCCGGGCCCAGCGGCCCTGGGAGTGATGTCCCAGGCCCCGCCTCGCCCCAGGCCAGACGCCCGGATCAACCGCAGCCTGCTGGGGCCACGCTAAACCCAGACACCCCCATGCCTGCTCCCCGAGCTCTGGACTGTAAGAAGCTCCGACTCCACCGTTCGCTCTCCCCAGCCCCCCTCCCTGGGGCCCCTGCGAAGCCCGCCCCCAGCACCAGCGGGCAGGAGGCATCGTCCTTCCAAAGCTCGCGTCCCGTCCACCCGTCCACCCTGGCTCACCTCGGCCTCGTCCACAGGCAGTTCGGGACCTGTCTCTGCTATGTGGTGCCCCTGGGCACGGAGATGCCGGCTGGACAGGACCCGTCCTGTGTCCACACCTCGGGAACTCTGGGTCACTGAGTTTGGCTCCCAGAGGGGACAGAGAGGTTGGGGCCAGGTGGCCACAGGGGGACACTGTCCAAGCAGCCGTGACTGTCCTGCAGACGGCGGCCCCAAAGCCCAGAGTGGACGCGCGAGGGGTCTCTGCTGGGCACCCCGGACTCGGGGCTGTCGAGGAAGGCTGGGCAGCTCTGCCCCCTAACCCCCCGTGCATATTCATTTCACATCTGCTCTGTCGGGTACAGACACTGGATCACTCCTCCCCACTTGGATTTTCACGGAAAGGCTATTTTGAGCCTCTTTTCCTCGTCCGCTCACGCTCGCGCCAGAGTTCTGAGAAGAGCCCAGGTCATGGAAGTGGGGGGACGGAGGGGCGGGGGGTGGGGGGGCAAGGCCACGCCGGCACAGAAATGGCACTTCCGGGTCACAGCGCCCAAGAGCACGGCTACAGAGTGGGAAGGAAACGGGGGGCGGCCAGGACAGCCCCTGCCCTGGGCCTGGGGCAGTGTGGGGTGGGGGGTCTCCTCCTCAAACACCCCCAAGAGAACCTCACTCAGGTTCCTCGGGGACCAGGCAGGAGTGTCATGCTGGCTCGTCCACCTGCAGGCCAGCTCTGGGCTCCCTCTGGGCACTCAGTGGCCTTCTGGAGGGGGGCGGGGGGCAGGGGGTGGGGACAGGGCTGCCAGCCAACGCTCTGGCTGGGAAAGAGAGGTGTCACCTGCCTGCAGCCGGCCACTGTCCAGTCCAGGGAGCGTCCTGCTGCGTCCCACGCACCCTCAAGCTGGCAGCTGTGCCCACCCCCCTCCCGCCCACGGTCATCACGTCAGCGCCCCCGGGAGGCCGTGACCCCTTGTCTTCACTGGTTCCAGACTCCCCGCCCCGCCTCGCGGCTCCTCCCCTGGGGACCCCGGGCCCGTTGTGCATGGGGACCCTTTCTAGCCCTCTTCGTTTTTTTTCTTTTGAAGATTTGCTACAGGAAAAGCTAGCCTAGGAACACCGCCTACATTTAGTCCAAGGATGTGAGTTGTCGAAGCATTAGGACAAGTTTGCACACGTTTTCAGCCATTCTGGGAAGCTGACGGTCCCGTAGTGAATGTCCACAGAGACTTAGAAATTCTGGCTGTTGGTCGATGTCAAAGCTTCGGGGCGGGGGGGTGTTTGCTTTTTCAAACGTTCATGTTGTAGAGGGGAAGCGCCGTTCGGGTCGTGCCGGGTTGACTGTAGTTGTGCAAGATCATTTCCTTCTCCGGTGATTTCCTCTGCGTGTGTGGTGCACGGTCCGCAGGGCGGCGAGGCCGTGGTGGCCTCCCGGCTCACGTCGCGGCGCAGACAAATAAAGATTCTGATGATTCTGACTCCCTCCCCAGCGATCCATGCTCTGTGCCGAGTGTTTTCTCTCTTCTCATTGTCATCTGCATCTTTCTTTTTTCTCGTGCGTTGATGAAATAAAGACCAAAAAGGGTTCTCATGCGAGCGCATTTCTCCCAAAGCAAAGGCAAGTTGGGGCCGCCCCCCGCAGCCAGGAAGCCCACCAGCCTTCTGCATTCTTCTTGCGTCCTGCAGGCTCACTGGAGTCTTTCCCTTCCAAGACCCGCCCCATAGTCGCACAGCAGACGCTGCAGGCTGCCGTGCTGTAGCAAACCGGCCAACCCCAGGAAACCAGGAGGGGTAGCAAAGGGCCTGGGTGAGCTGAGGGTGGGCTGGGCCTGACCAGCCCCCAGCTCCCCCCAGCAGCCGGCGACCGCCTCCTCACCAAGCTCACTTCAACCCTGCCGCGTCCTCGGGCCGGCCCTTGCCAGGGGCCCGTCCTGAGCCTCGTTTCCCGTTTGGCCCAAACAGCTCCTCTCCTTCTCCTTTCAAAGACAAAGTCTCAGTTCATCCACAGATTCTGGCTCCACAGTGAGGGTCTCTGCCCACTCACGCCAACTCACACCCCAGCCCCGCCCTGACCGGAACCAACTCGGGAACCCCACAGCCCAGCGCCTGTGGGCAGAGTGGCCTTCTGGGTCTCCTCCTGGAGCATCCAGGAACTTGGTAGAAGCACCTAGAACCACACGCGTGGGCTCTGACGGCTGCCCCCAAAAGATCACCCAGGGTCCCCTCCGGGCTCTCCTCCCCGCTGCCCCCATAAGACCGTACCTCAGTCCCCCGGGGGCTCTCGCTCTCTCCTGTCCTTCTTCCCGAGCAGTCCAGTCCTGCCTTTGGCCATTCAGCTCAGCCCCTCTGTCCTGCGACCAGGCACCCCTTCTCTCGGCCCAGGCTGCAGCATTTCATCCATCTGCCCCGAGCACATGCCCCACAAGGTGGGTCCTGCCGGCTCCCAGCATCCCTCCCCGCCAGCTGCCTGTCCTGGGCCGCCCCTTGCCATGCTTGCTTCTGGTCTGGCCCTCCTTCTTCGAGCCACACTCTTATCAGACGGGAGTCGAGCTTTTCCCTGGGAGGAGGGCAGGGGGGCCCAGCTGTCGCAGGCACACACTATCCTGGCAGGCCACCCTCTCTCTGGGCAGAGCTGGCCGCTTCCAGCCCCAAGGCAGGCGAGTCAGTAGCTTCTTGGGACTCAGTCCCTGCCCATGAGGTGTCCACGCTCTGGCCCTTGGAGACTGTCGGAGTGAGCGTCCGGTTTTGTCAGAACCCTTCTAGCCGACTCTCTTATGGGGGACCAGGTTTCGATTCGGTGATCCTTCTGTAAGTGACTGTTTGTTTTGCCTGATTTGTGGAAAGGAGCTTAACTTGCTCCCCTCCGAGAAGCAGCTGACTTTGCAGTTAACACTCTGCCGTCTCAGGCAGGAAGACTCGTCTGGCCGCTGGCCCCAGCTCTGACCGCTGGCCCTCCGCACCTGAGGCCCCCTGGGGACGGTCACCTTCCTCCCCGCCCCCCAGCCTCTCTGGCTCTTCCTGCCTCCTCCCACTCACTCTCCACCTTTATTGATGCTCAGTCTTCCGCTCGGTTGGCGGGGAGGAGGCTTCAGGGGGGTCGTGGTGTGGGAATTGGCTCTGACGTTCCCTCATGGAAGCCGTCGCGGAGTACAGCAGGGGCCAGACTGCCCCCGCCCCAGCACTGTGGGTGTCTGCTTTCTCGGGTTTAGAATTCAAGCGTCCATCTGTCCCGGCTTTGCTGGCCGGTGTGAGACCTGCGGGGGGAGCTGGCCCTCACCCAGAGGCTCAGCCCTGAGCCCTGGGAATGTTGGTACGAAGGAGAGTGATGGAGCGTGGAAAGCCAACAGCTCACAGCCACTGCCCCGGAGGCCAGTGGGGGAGGCTGCGCCCCGGGAGCCCTCCCTGAGGTACAGGGCATGGTCAGAGAAGAGAAGAGAGGACGCCAGCACCCGTCACCACCCGGCCTGCCCTAGCCCCTGCGGCCACAGCCAGGAGCCGAGGTGGGGGCGAGCACTGGTTCTGAGAGACCATTACCAGATTGAAATAAGTCACTTGGAACTTCCAGAGCTCAGCAGGTGCCGGGAAGCCGTGAGAACAGGTGGATGTTCTGAGATTACTCCTAACAGTGTCTCTCCGGGCTTGCAGCAAAGTCCCTGAAGTGGGAAGCAGCCCTTATAAGTTGCAGGAACGATTCTATGAAAGAGCCCATACAAGCCACTTCTCAAAATATAAGACGCTTCTCAAAATAGCCACCCTAAAAATAACCTAATTCATATCGGTGGGATAAAATGATACAATCCTGATGGCCAATCTGGAGAAAAGTGGTTTTCTCAGTAGGCGCCTCCTTCACCCTCGGTGTTTATTAAACAGGAAAGAGATGCCAAGAAAGGAATATCGAGGGTTTTAACATCCTAATAACGCTCATGACAGCAAGGCAGAGGGCTCGGTGATGATCTGGCGAGACTTATCTGTATGGTTGACAGGAACAGATTTTAAAGTGGGTCAATTAACACAGAGAAAACGTGTGATGCCGAATCTCACCACCTCGTCTAGGACATCCGAAGGTCGTCCTTGTTCTGGATGTCAGACTTCCCGTCACGGGAATGGCACAACTATTCAGACTCATGTTCTCAGCCTTAGCAGGAGAATCAGCTAAACATCGCTTTTGACTGCAAGAACCAAAAAATCAGCAGTCAGCCCCGGAAGACTTTTCTCCCTGTTGTGGAGTACGTGCACGAAACAGTCTCACGGGGTCTCCTTCAAATGCCTCCGGCAAGTCCCTCCTGGGGCCTTTCTTGAAGCTACGAATTGGACACTTCAC